GAATTTCCCTCAACAGAATAGAGGATCTTTCTCAACAGAATAGAGAGATATCCTCGTATAGAGAAATCTTATCTTCTATCATTGGGGAAATCTTATCTTCTATCACCACACACTGCAACTGGACCGGCGTCGCCTGCGACTCCTTGGGCTTCGTCGAGAGGTTGGACCTCTCGCACCTCAACCTCAGCGGCCTGATCGCCGACGACATCCGACGTCTCCGCCACCTCGCCAGCCTCAAACTCTGCTGCAATGCCTTCTCCTCCTCCCTCCCCGGCTCGCTGTCAGGCCTCTCGTCACTCGAGGAGCTCGACGTCAGCGTGAACGCCTTCGTCGGCCGGTTCCCGACCGGCCTAGGTTCGTCCCCTGCATTGATGACCGTGAACGCGTCGGCCAACAACTTCGTCGGCCCGCTGCCGGAGGATCTCTCCAATGCCACGTCCCTTGAGGTCATTGATTTCCGGGGGAGCTTCTTCCAGGGATCGATTCCGGCATCCTACAGGAGCCTGCAGAAGCTCAGGTTCCTTGGCCTCTCGGGCAACAACCTCACCGGAAGAATCCCGGTGGAGCTCGGCGAGCTCTCCTCGTTGGAGAAGCTCATAATTGGGTACAACGAGCTCGAGGGGAGCATTCCGGCCGAGTTTGGCAACCTGTCGAGCCTCGAGTATCTTGACTTGGCCGTTGGCGATCTCGACGGCGCCATACCGCCGGAACTGGGGCGGCTGCAGCAGCTGACCACTTTGTTCTTGTACAAGAACAACTTGGAAGGCGACATCCCGAAGGAGATCGGCAACATGTCGGCGTTGGTGATGCTCGACGTGTCCGACAACAGGGTCTCCGGCCCTATACCGCCGGAATTGGCCCATCTGACGAATCTGCAGCTCCTCAATCTCATGTGCAATAGGCTGCACGGCCCGGTGCCGCCGGGCATCGGAGACTTACCTCGGTTGGAGGTACTCGAGCTCTGGAACAACTCGCTCACGGGTCCCCTGCCGACCAATCTCGGCCGCGTCACGCCGTTGCAGTGGCTCGACGTGTCGTCGAACTCGCTCTCCGGGGAGATCCCGGCCAGCCTGTGCGACGGCCACAACCTCACCAAGCTCATCCTCTTCAACAATGCCTTTTCCGGGCCGATACCGGTCGGCCTCTCGACGTGCAAGTCGCTGGTTCGCGTGAGGGTGCAGAACAACAGGCTCAACGGCACGATGCCGGGCGGGCTGGGGAAGCTGCCAAAGCTGCAGAGGTTGGAATTGGCGAGCAACGATCTCGAGGGCGAGATTCCGAGCGACCTCGCCTCGTCGACGTCGCTCTCCTTCGTTGACCTCTCGCACAATCACCTCCGGTCGTCTCTCCCCTCCACCATCTTCTCCATCCCCACCTTGCAGAGCTTCATGGCGTCCGACAACCTGCTCACCAGCGACATCCCTGACCAGTTCCAGGACTGCCCGACACTGGCCGCACTCGACTTGTCGAACAACCGCCTCACCGGCGGCATCCCGGCGAGCCTCGCCTCGTGCCAGAGGCTCGTCAGCCTGGACCTGCATGGCAACCGGTTGACTGGGGAGATCCCGGTGGCGGTCGCGATGATGCCGGCGCTCGCCATCCTCGATCTGTCCAACAATCTCCTCACGGGCTCCATCCCGGCGAACGTCGGGAACTCGCCGGCGCTGGAGACATTGAATCTGTCCTACAACAATCTCTCGGGCCCTGTGCCGGCGAACGGGATACTGAGGACGATAAATCCCGACGATCTCGCCGGCAATTCGGGCCTCTGCGGGGGAGTACTACCGCCATGTGGCTCAGGGGCCGGCCGGTCGTGGCTCCGGAGAGGAAAGAATCCTCACCTGAAGCACATTGTTGCCGGGTGGATGACGGGGATCTCGGCGATCCTCGCCTTCTGCATCCTTCTCTTGGGAGCTCATCATCTCTACAGGAAGTGGTACGTCAGCGGCGGCGGCTGCTGCTGCGAGGAGCCCTTGGACGAGGAGAGCGGCGCGTGGCCATGGAGGCTTACCGCGTTCCAGCGGCTCAGCTTCACGAGCAACGACATACTCGCTTGCGTGAAGGAGGCCAACGTGATCGGGATGGGCGCCACCGGGATCGTCTACAAGGTCGAACTGCCAAGGCCGCGCGTGGTGGTGGCAGTCAAGAAGCTGTGGCGGGCCAGGTCGCCCGACATCGTCCCCGAGGCCGGGAACTCGAACCCGGGGGCCGACATCGCCGGAGAAGTGAGCGTGGTGGGGAAACTGAGGCACCGCAACATCGTGCGCATTCTCGGCTACATGCACAACGACACCGACGCCATGATCCTGTACGAGTACATGCCCAACGGAAGCCTGTGGGAGGCGCTGCACGGGCCGCAGGCCAGCCGGCTACTGCCGGACTGGGTGTCGCGCTACAACGTGGCCGCCGGCATCGCCCAGGGCCTCGCCTACCTCCACCACGACTGCCACCCTCCCGTAATTCACCGCGACATCAAGTCCAACAACATATTACTGGACGGCAACCTCGAGGCGCGGATCGCCGACTTCGGGCTCGCCAGGATGATGGTGAGGAAGAACGAGACGGTGTCGATGGTCGCCGGATCCTACGGCTACATCGCTCCCGGTGAGCTCTTCGCTCCTCACTCCATCACCTTCTCACCGAATCATCCTGCATCAGCATCTGAATTCCAATTCAATCTGTGACAGAGTACGGCTACACGCTGAAGGTGGACGAGAAGAGCGACATCTACAGCTTCGGGGTGGTTCTGATGGAGCTGGTCACCGGGAGGAGGCCGATCGAGCGGGAGTTCGGGGAGTGCCAAGACGTGGTCGGATGGGTCCGTGGCAGGCTGAGGAGCGACCGGGGGTTGGAAGCGGTGCTCGACGCCGGGGTGGGAGGGCACTGCAAACATGTGCAGGAGGAGATGGTGTTGGTGCTGCGGATCGCGGTGCTGTGCACAGCGAAGCTTCCGAAGGAGCGGCCGTCGATGAGGGACGTGCTCACCATGCTCGGGGAGGCGAAGCCCAGGAGGAAGAGCAGTAGCTTCGGAGCGGAGAGCAACGCGGTGGACAAGGATAAGCCTGTGTTCAGTACTTCGCCGGAGTCGGGCTACCTTTAGGCATAGATCTGCTTCTTTGACTCCATTTTTGGCCTTGGAGGTTGATGGCGTCGAAGGGTTGTATCTATCGATCGAGTGTAGATGGAGATCACTGTAGCTGCTCGATTCTTTGTCCATAGTGTAGTGTTGTAAGCTGAAGGAGGAGCAAACTTTGCACGACCGGTCATCAGTTAGTTTGGTGAAGGAAGAAATGACACAGCTTCTCAGTGACTGATAGACTGCTTAAGAAAGAAGAAGGTAATGGGAGTCGATCAAAGTTAACAAATGGAATATTAGAAAAAGGATATGATAATTGATGAGGATAATAATGGCGATAAGACTCGGGTTGACGTCAGCTGCCTCAGATGACGCCTCGATCGACCTAACACCACCTGGTTAAACGGATCGGAACGTCGACCGAGACACATTAAACATCCTGCTCAGGCTCGATCCTTCACGTCATGCCAACACCAGTGTCAGACGCAAGCAGGCACATCAGGCAACGGTAATCCTCACTATAAAAACCCTCGGGCTCCGAGGAAAGGGGGGGACGAAGAAACAACTTAGCTAAAGAAACCCCCCTCACCATCCACTAACTTGATCGTCGAAGGGGTCGGGCCGAGCTCCCTGACCCGACTTTTGTGCAGGTGCGAATGCGGAGGTCTCCCACTAACGCGCAGACGAGGAGTCCCTTCCCGGAGGAAACGACGATCCCGTCCCGATCGGACCAACACAATCGACCACCTCGGTAGTCTCGAGGAACGTCCCAAGAAGATCCCTCATCATCCGGACCCGAACCAAGCCACGTCGGCCCCGAGGCCACGTCTTATAATTGTTTACACAAACAATAATTAACTTCAATAAATGAAATATTAAAAAAGACCTGTAGACAGAAATCCTCAACTCAAACACACAATCATATATGAAATAATTGACTTGTTAACTCGATAAATCTGAACAATTAGTTCAAAATGCATAAGTCATTGATGTCCAATAGATTGGATGGTTAAGGCACTCACAAACTTATTGATGCAAAGATAATAAAATCTCATCAACACTATTTCAAAAGCTATAGAGGGAGGTAATATAATAAGTGCAAAAAAAAAAGTTTCATGTATTGAAAATCAATGATATGCTGTTCTTCATCAGATTAAGGTAAAACTCAATTTTTTGTACAAGAAAGTAGCACAGAATACAAGAAAAATACTGTGAAAGTGAACATACTCTTCGAAAGAAAGATGCACTTGCTCCGGGCAAAGGCAAGCCCTGATTTAGAAGTCACCAGCAATATCACCGAATGATGATGACTGACGACGAATACAAGAATAGGCAATTCAATTCATACTTCTTTCAGCTTTTCCAAATAGCATATTTTGCAGTCTCTTTTATTGCTTCGGACAAAAAAAAATGAATGCATGCAGGCACGTCGCAGCTCGAAAACTCAGCAGCACATGTAAAATTCAGCAGTCCTCGATGCCCTTTTACACAAACAATTAACACATTTCATCGACTCAATGAAATGGTAAGATCGTTCATGTAGAATGCCTTCCTTAATGCATCCTTTGGAGAAAACTCCTTTAACATGCATGATCCAAGTTGCTAGATATGCATCACATGCTCCTTCGTGCTGAGAAACTAACACCACCTCCAGACAAAGCGCTCATGTGCTGCTGCAAATAATTCTCAGAGCACAGCTGAATATAACAGTTGGTTCCAAGAGAAAAAACATTTCCCGAGTGCAAAAATGTCATTGATTTCATCAATTTTTCTATCCATAAATTTCTCTTCTAATCTCATTATTCAGATGTTCAGATATCTGTTCTGTACACCAGCATACCAAGTATAGGAATAACAAGCGCAGATCCAAATGGCCCCAAAACTGTTGCTCAACTGATTTTACTCTAGCACTGGAAAAATGAATGCTCGGATTAATGGCTAAATATCAGCCACCCATCAACGTGGTTATAGAACTTTGTTACTATCCCTGTAGATACACCCTGAAAAAGAAACATTGCATTTATTAGCATACAAAAATCACAGAAAGCTAAACATGATCAATACACCTGAGCAAACTATGTATTCAGCGATATAAAATTCAAGATTCAACTAGCAATAAAACAGTTAAAATGAATTCAGTAACAAAATGTTCAACCAAATTAGAACTTCAAATTGAGATTGAGTAGGAATATAATTCAACACAAAGGGCATATAATTCTCATTGCTGTTATATTATGAAATAATATTGCAGGTCTTGATTAGTTTCAGATAGATACTTATACAATCTGTGGAAATTTGAATAACGGATCAGGATTTTGGTTACATTGATAAAATGACTGCAAGCATGGTTGTTATCATTGGACATTGCTGGCTGGTGATACCATGACTTATTTCTTTGATCAAGGGCTCCAACGATCATGATACAAGAATATGCCTAGTTACATTTTTTGTTTATCATTAATCATGTATATGTACAGAGTTCAGATGTCACTTCATTGCACATCACACCAACCCCATAAAACACACCTCTGAAAGACATATCTAAACCATAATATCCACGGTCGAAACACATCCAGCATTGCCGCTTCTGACTTCTGATCTGTGGTCTAGTTTATAACTTTTGTCCTTACACTACAATAAAATTAATCCTATAGAAGTCAGTTCAGCTGCCACTTCATAGCAGATGAAGATGCCCCCCAAAAACACACCTTCCAAACCATGTCTGAGCTGTGTTATCCACGCACAGAATACGTCACAAACTGCTGCTTCCTTTCTTTCATTATCATAAACTATACTTAGCAACCATGATAATGCTACAGTATTGCAAATGCAAATAACTATGTCTGAACAATGTGCAGTGCTGGTAATAAAATCTTGTGACAATTTTTTGAAAACAATCTCATAAAAATCCAAAAGTTTCTCCTCACATTATTTACCAAATTTTCTGCCCATACAATTCTTCACACAGAAAGCCAGGTATCCTATATACACAAAACACGGACTTATAATTCATTTGGCCTCATACTTCTTTATATGCAAAATCCAGTTCTATTTTCATTGACTTCCTATTTCTTGTTTCTACAAAGCAAGGTTCGCAATACCATACCGTACCGGAGTTTCGACCTGGGCTCGGTATCGGTACGGTACGGTATACCGTTCGGTACACCCAGGTGTACCGAGCGGTATATTCAGGCGTGCCGAGCACTGTAGCAGTGCTACACTGCTACAGTACTGTTACAGTACCGGACCGGTAACAGACGATCCGCGTACCGGAAGCCTGTCGGACTGGTACGGACCGGTACTGCAAACCATGCTACAAAGTACCAATTTATGTATTAGAATAAACACCCAAAAATGAAAGTAATATTATTTAGCCGATCCATCGTGCTTAGACAAATGTTGACCTCTTCTTAGAGGCCAAAAACCATGTGAAATCTATTGGCAGCGCACAAACACTTGCTAACCAGAATTAAAAAGCGCACAAGTTCCTCTTGAATGGCCGACGGATATCTCATGATCAATAAAATCTCTTTGAAGTTACTACAACTACATCAGGAGATAGAACTCCGCAAATATCTTTGGGAATAGTAGAACATAAGAAAATTATTGTAGATAACCTCACAAGTAGAACACAAAATCAGTGACGATGATACATTTAAAGATACCAAAAAAAAAGGAAAAACTTAGTGAACTCAACTTACTTTTCCATGACAGCCGACTGGCTTTGTCGATAAAATGGACACTTCGGTGCTGAAAATAAAAAAATTAAAACAGTATCAGTAACTAAAATTGTTTACTTTCTTGTAGGAGTATGTGTTATATAGAGAATTTGTCAAGGTATGCATTTAATCGAGACCAAATAATCATAAAAGCTTCAATTCATGCCCTAGAATATGAATATGCAATTCATGTGATTTTACAGAAACAAGTTTAAGTGGTTGAGATAAGATGCTGTGAGCATTACCCTTATATCATGTAACAGCTCATATCCACCAATTTTCAGGAGTCCATAAACATAGGAATCAGTTCCAGGCCTCAAATCATATGATAATAATATATTCTTAAAGCAAAACCATCAGAAGCTCTGGTTGCTTTGAAGCTCGGACTCCATGAGTGAAAAAAAATACATTGCAGTTGTAATAATCCAAGCACAACTAATCAGATCTTATTAGAGACAGTATCGTCCATCGTGCTAGGAATGATACCTCTTCTTCTCATGTCAATTTGCAAACTCTGAACCTCATCCATATTTCCCAACCTATGATACTTGCTTATGAGACAATTATAAACAGCTTCATCAGGAATAATATTATTGTTGATCATCTCTGCTAGTGTGTTTCTAGCTTCCTCCATTTGACCAGTGTCACAAAATCCCCATATAAGAGATGTATATGCATGAAGGTCAAGCTCAAGGCCATTCTCTATCATTTTGCTTTTGAGAGCAAACGCTTTCTGAAGATTGCCCCTCTTCAAATACCCATTCATTAGAGATGTGTACGCAAATTTGTCTGGAGCTACACCCTTCCCCACCATTGTTTCAAAGACTTCAGAAGCTTCTTCCAAGAAACCTGTTTTGCAAAGGCCATCAATAAGCGCCGTGTACACCAAGATATTAGGTTGCAAGCCTAATGATTTCATTCTTTCAAAATGGCACCTTGCTTCATGAATCGATCCTTCTTTGCATAACCCATCGACTAATGCACAATATGTAACAATGCTAGGAAGTACACCCGAATCATGCATTTTGTGAAGCACATCAAGGGCCTCCGAGGCTTTTCCTGCTTTAAAGCAAGCGTTCATTATTGTTGTGTAGATCACATGATTAGGTTTTAAGCCAAGATAATCCATCTCCTTCAGCAAAGTCTTAGCTTCATCAATCTTTCTATCGTTACAAAGACCCCAAATGATGGTACCATAGAGCGAGATATCAGGTTCAATGCCCTTATCCCTCATTTCAGACAGTAAATCCATTGCCTTCTCCTTGTTCTTATTCTTGAAATGCCCATGCACCAGAGAGGTATACATCAATTGGTTGGGTACCATACCTGCTCTCACCATAGCCCGAAAAATCCCTTCTGCTTCGAGAACCTTCCCCTCTTTACAGAGGCCATCCACCAAAGCTGTGTAAGTCACAACATTTAACTCCACCCCCTCATTCACCATCTCATCGACCAACGACTGGGCTTCCTTAAGATTTCCAGCCTTGAAGTTTCCGTCGATTAGAGAAGTATAAGTAAATTCATTTGGCCTTATGCCTCTAACTCTCATATCAACAAAGAATTTAAGTGCTTCTTGCATCATGCCTTCCTTGCAGAAGGCATCAATGAATGTGCTGAATGTGACCACATTGGGCACAATATCTTTCCTCTTCATCTCACTAAGAAACTCAAAAGCCTTCAGCAGCTTCCCAAATTTACAGAAACAGTCGACAAGAGCATTATAAGTAATCACATCAGGCTCACAGCCGGAATCTTTCATCTCCCCCAGAATTTGCTCAGCTTCCTCCAATTCCCCACACTTTCCATGCCCATCAATGAGCGAGTTATATGTGATCACGTCCGGCAAGCAACCCATTTCTTTCATCTTCTGGAATAACGCCCTTGCCGCAGTCAAATCACCCTCCTTGCACAAGAAATCAATCATAATATTGAAAGTGAAAACTGTAGGAGCCATATTTGAGCTGACAATATCATTGAAGAACCTCTTTGACAACTCGCCTCTGCCTGTCCTCACAAGCCGCTGAAGCAAATTGTTGCAGGATCGCAACTTTGGCAGAATCCTAAAGGCTCTCATCCTATAGAAGCAATCACTGGCCTCATCGAGCATCCCCAGATCAGTCAAAACCCCAAAGAGTGCATCAAACACTCCATACCCCAGAGTCCCGTAACCCCTTGCAGTCGTTCGCAGCACATCGACAATGCTCTCCGATCCTTCCGACACCCGCGTTGACAAGACAATATCTTTAAGGACCTTCTGGGCCTCGGAATACCACCTGCCCCTAAAGAGGACGTGGACGGCAACGCACCGGGTCTCGACGGTGTGGCGGAAGCCGCTCTGCTTCCCGGCCCAGATAAAGAAGTGAAAGGCCGACCTGGGGTCCCCCTGCAGCTCCCAGAGGATTCTGCAGACGCTGTTGGGAGCCGAAGCAGATGAGAAGATGGCAGCGAGACGCGGGTCGTCCCACCTGCTTTTGGCGATGAGCCTGGGGATGGGAGCGAGGTCGGAGGCGCCAAGTGATTCGCCGGAGTGGGCGGAGAAGGGGAGGTTCCGGTACGGGCCGCGGAGGGGTAGATAGCGGCAGCGGCGGACGGGGAGGCCGCGGGAGAGTACGAGCATCCTTCGACCGCTAGGAACCGGAGAGGATCGGCGCCATGGTCGGGGCTACTCAGGCCGGAAGGAGGCGGAGCCGCTCTTCCTCTTCCATCGCGGGGAAGCGGGTTTAGGGTTTTGAACCCTGACGCCTTGGCTCGTAGACCAAACTTGGTTCGGTGCAACCCATGTGTCGTTTGTTGACTCGGGTCTCGGTTCGGACTCGGACCGTAACTGCGGGGACGATCCGTTAACCCTAAGACAGTGGTGGCGACGGCCATATGATATGATTAAAATTAATTGACTAATATCCATTTCTTCTAAGATAAATAATAATGTAATTGGAACGAAGACGAGGCGATTCTCTCCGGATGCACTAGGCGAGGAGCCCCTTCCCGGAGAAAACGGTGACCCACCTTCATGACCAAACCGACCGAGCCAACGACCTCAGCAGCCCGAGGAACCCCCTTTGGAGATCCCCCGTCCTCCGCACTCGAACCGAGCCACGTCGACCCCGAGACCACGGCTCAAGATAGTTTACACAAACAGATATTAATCTAATAAGAAATAAAAAAAAATAAAAATAAAAACAAAATAATATGGAAAGCACATTTCAAATTTGATTATAAAAAAATATAAAAATTGGATCCATTAAATAAAAAAATAGGGTGCATTCTTTAAAAAAAAATCTTTATTTTTAACTTTTTTTTTTTTTTCGAGAAACAACCCCTTTTCAAAATTCCCAAACAATATACATTGTTTACTTAATACTTGAAGTACATTTTTCCTATATTTTTTCCTTCATTTTTGTTCTTTTTCCTACGAGTCGATCCATATGGTAAATCAATTAGTACAATATTTTTACACTATGTTACAATGTGTTTTCAATAATATCAAAAAATATATATTAAAAGATAATTAAAAACATTATATCATAATTTTTTTTAGCATTGTCGATAACAAAAATATTGTATTAAAGTGTTTTTATACTAAAAAGCATTATAAGAAACATAATGTAAAAACATTATAAGCATAATTATATATATATATATATATATATATACTATGATTACGTTTGTTCCGAAGCTTTAAGTAGAAGCAGGAAGGGAAGTTGTTTGACACTTGGCGGCTGCAAGTCAACCATCCCGAAGCAAAAGTCAAGTCAACGTGGAAGCCAAGAGAAGATGCTACCCATTGTGTCATTGCTAAAGATAGAACAGCATTAGAATTCATACCATGTCACAAAGTTATGTGCAATTGTTGTATGTCGCCATGGATAGATAGGAGTCGTTCTTTATGTTGCTTCTTCATGTGGTGTTACAGTGTGCAATTGTTTCTGATGATCCAATTGCATCAAAACGGGGACTTGACTGCAAGATCAATGGAGTTGGATTCGGTTTCCATGCGGCCAAGTGGGAAAGATGAGATCTTTACGTGAATCTTGGTGGTGTGGTGTTCTCGAGAATCTTCGATGACGCTGTGTGGTTGGACTCTCATGCCTCCTCCTCCTCCGACGACGGCGACCGCTTGGAGGGGCGATTGAGGTCGGTGCGGCCGTGGTTGGAGGCGAAGGAAGACACACTGCGAGGAGGAGGAGGAGGAGGAGGAGGAGGAGGAGCAGCAGGGGAGTCAGCAATGGAGCACGCGGCAGAGGTGGGCCGGTGAATTCTTATGTGGCCGCCGAGGCCCTGGCCAGATAAGAAGACGCGGTCGCAGTGGGGGCATTGGAAGCGCCTCGCATCGCGATCGGCGGCAATGGCATCCGTGCGCACCCTCTTCTGCCTGTCGCTGGACGCCGCCAGCTGGCCATCGTCCTCAGCCTCGGATCTTGACCAGAAGGCGTCGGCGAGGAACAAGAGGGACCAGGCGGCTTCTTCTATTCTTTCTTCCGAGGAGCTGCAGACGGCCTCCGCGTCGCCGTCGATGCGGCGCTTGGGACGACGCGGAAAGGAAGACTCGGCGTGGGTCTCGCAGTCCTGGACAACAGAGGAGGAAGCTCCGGCGCCAGGAACCCTAGGGCGAAGGCTCCTCCGCCGATTCCGACGGAGTCCATGCGTCGGCGCGGCCGAACTTACCTCGGTCGCAACAGTATCCGAGGAGGAAGAGGACGCAGAGGAGGAGGGAGACGGGCGGCGTGAAGTCATGTGGCCGCCGAGGACGAGCCACTGGAGAAGAAGATTGGATATACGGAGGAGCTCCTCTGGTGGAGAGTTCTTGGATCTTTGAACTTTGAAGGAGCTCTTCAAGTGGACAGTTCTTGCATCTTTCAAGCTCCTCCGTTTCCTAAACTACATCCCACAAGTCTCATATATATATATATATAATGAAGGAATCAAAAACACTAAATCTTATACATGACTTGATGGACTTACAGCATCAAGGCTTTGTTGCATTCTAACTAAATACTAATAATCCCTCTTGATCCATTAAAATTTCCAACTAAGCCCTCATGATATATTTTCTTTTTGTTTTTTTACCAGATATTAGGGACAATCCCCAAAATAGTGATCCAAAAAAAATTACCATCACACAAGGAGGTGATGGATCACCTACATTGAACAAACAGTAAAATAAGCAACCAGGCATTTAAGAAGATGACTTGGCGGCATACGATCAGTGGGCTCTGTACATTATATTCTTCTTCTGTTGTCTACCTTTGCTCTTTTGGATGCTGATGCAGTATCTGTATTCCCGCTGCGAGATTGTATCTGAAGCGTCATTGGGATTAGAATAGGCTTCAAGAAATCAGTCAAAACAGAAAGTGAAAGTACATTAACCTTATCAAGCTTCTCTCTGACCAACCTAACAGTCTCGTTCATAGATGGTGTTGGAAAGTATTCCTGCAATGAAATCAAAATATGATACTCGCAGGTCGTAATAAAACATTAGTAGGACTGGTGTGCGACATCGGATATAACAAGGACATGTAACCAAGGAAAACACTGCACTCTCTGTTTATCCGTCTTATGCTAGATGGGAAATGACAATTAAAACTGAGATGAATGTAAAACACTTGGTCCGCATATCAATATTAGAATACTACACAGCGGTGCAAATGGTGGTTTGCCAAAAGATAAAACATACCTTGTTAGAGGAAACATGGCTTAGAGGAGCATTGCCAACATGAGATATTTGGCCCCCTCTAGCAAATTCTCTGAAGACAGAATACATCAGGAACCAAAAAGAAAAAAATCAAACGGTCATATACAAGCAACCAATCAAAAGAAGAAAAGAAAACTATGATCTGTCCTTAAGAGGAAAGAAGAGCCTTCTGTCCTTTCCCTTCATCATGATAACTTGCTACTGCAAACACTAATTGTTCCTACTCTGAATAACTCGCATACCTTTGCCTTCCCTGCAGCTCTGAATTACTTGATGCCGATGGAGCAGGATCAAGCCAATGTTGGCAAGAAGACCCGATAATGGTGGAGTTACTGGAAATTTGAGACTTTGATCCTTCCGTTCTTACATTTGCAGCTAACAAAGCATAGAATGTAAGTCCAAGCAATAAAACACTTCGAAGAAACTATTAATGAAGCAAATGCAACAATTTTAAATCGTTACTAAGATACTTCGATATAAAAGAAACCCACATTTTATTCGCCCAAGAACTTCCCTTGTCCTGCCCTCAAGTTTCTCCTTGACATCCAAAACACTCTCAAACTGAGGTGCATATGACACCTTCAAAAGGTTACCTAGAAATACGGATTCATCCAGTTTCCGCTTTGCAAACCTGTAGCAATGAAGAGAAAAAAATTACAAAAAAATAACAGCATGAAGTAGCAGTATAAGAGATAAAGCAGTTTTTTCTTGTCACGTCTTTTCAAGTTTGGATTTACAATGAGCAAATTTATTCCAATCACTATCTCAACTTATATGCAAGTGGATTGCTACACAGAGTTGTCAATTTGAATTCACAGTGAGCAAATTCATTGAAATCTGTCTCTATCCATATGTATAGCTGTAGATGTAACTTTTATCTACTTTACGTTATATGCAATTAATCCTGTGTTAAGAAATTTTAAAGAGTAACAGTATGAGATTCTGGAAAACATTTAACTGAAAGAAAATCCCTAAGTACTAGTTGTTTCTTTCAATGCTTAAATTCACAATGACTAAAGAAAAAATATTCCACAACGACAATAAAATACTAGTTGTTTGACTGCTCCTCTGAAGCACTCTTCACCTTGTACTGTGTATAAGCATGATCTTGCTAAAAGAACATTTTTGTTGATGCAAGTCAAAACTATCAAAAGAAGTGAGTTGCCTAAACTTGTTATGAGTTCAGGTACCAGATCTATGATTTTTTTTTCTTCCATATATATTTTTATTACAGAATAGACATGCAAAATATGTGCACAAGGCACTTTACAAAAGGGTCACTAACCTGTTGCAAAAAACCCTCCTGGAAACTTCAAACAATATATGTTATGAAATACTCATATATTTACCAAATCTTATCAGATCTACAACTTTACAGTCAACACCCAGTCTATTTCCTCCACTAGTTTTAAACGACTGCAGGGATTAAAAATAATTGGAAGATGCACTTGTCTGAAAATTGTCAAAGAATGAATTGGTGATCTATGTAATCTGAAGTACAGTGCCACATTGAAAATGGAAAGATACATCATTTCCAAGAAAAAGGTAAGCTTCTTTGTTAATAAGAACACTCAAAACATTTGTTTATTACCTTGCATTGCTGACCTGTGAGAATTTGATCCAATAAACATCAGTGAAAGGATCACAATCTTCTGCATCCATGGGTTTACACCTGAAAGTTAATAAAAAATATGCTAAAAATAATGCAAAAGGGCAGCATTTCACGACAAATATGTTTATATCTTCAACACACACACACACACACATAGGATCTTTAGTTGTTTAATTTAAAACATCAAAGAAAGATTCTATGAATAAAAAAAAGGAGAAAATCCGAGGTCCAAAAATATATCCCAAACTCCACACTGTTCTTTTTCCTATTGGTAATTACAATATTTACATGATAAGAAACAAATAGTCTATGCTAATAATTTTTCTTAGCTGCCTATAGAACTTAAGTAATGAATATTATTTCAGGTACTATAACATTAAGTTAACGTATCTTACGTTTCTTTTAAAACTTGCTGACTCACAAAAATTCATCCTAAAATGCTTGAAGTTCATCAAGGACAGTAGATAGGATCACCGCATCTCTTCAATCCGGAAAGGGCCCATCAAGATGTTAGTTGGACCATTCGAACCTGAGTTATGTATGGTTTAAATAATCAGCTGAGGCAATTTAAGAACCGCCATAGTCAAACCAATAGTCCCAAAATAATTGGCATATCAGATTTTGGCCATCTAAAAGAAACCTAGTAGACAATATCGTGCAAGATAATCTACATATTACACATGAACATAAAATAATATAATTCAAGTAAAAAAGTGAAAACCTACGTTATGAGATAGTACATAATATAATAATATCATATGCATCAAATCATGAAGTAGAACAAATATGAAATTTAGATTTTATGCCATACTTAGATAATCAACAGTAAAAAAGGTAACTAAAAAGTTTAAAATATCTGCTCATAAATTTAAATTTAACTTTTCAACTATTAAAGATTAAAAATATATTGAACTGAATTAACAAATAAAATTTGTCAAAATCATTGGCCCAAACCTTTTTTTTTTTATTTGGAATGACTAATCTCATTTCTGGTTCCTTCTCGAAGTTTAAATGATCTAACGAAACTCTTGGATAATTTTACAAATTCGGGTAGAAACCTTCTAAGGAGTTCAAATGATTTGCATCATGGCAAACATCATTGTTAAAGTATACATCGGGCTCTTTCTATAGCTTAAGCTTTTGGGATCTATGGTTACGCAATCAATAGCTTTGAGATGATATTTATCTTTAAGAGAATCTTCAAACGGTCACGGCAAGCCTATACCAATTTACTTAAAGTATATATTGGGTCCTTTTCTAATATTTTAAGCTTTCGGAATTCGTGATCACCCAATCAATCTTTTAAGAATCATCATCTTCAATGGTGCATCTAGACCAAGTGATAATCATCGAACAATTCTACGTAACAGTTAGTGATCCCTATCGATGTTGCAAGGGAGAGACGCAAACAATCGCGAACTGAGAACATCACGGGGTCCATAATCATTCAGAAAGAAAAAGGGCAGGGTCAGGAAAATGGCTTTACTCTTCTATCTCGCCATACGATCCAAACAACCTGGACAGGTCATCACCACAGCCTAAAGCCGGCACGTTTCTCACGATCAGATATCTGCAAATTCACGATAGACAACTCAAGGAGACAGAACAAAATAGAAGACATACCATCAGAATTATCAACTCGTTCCACCCAAGAGACGAACAGTTAAAGAAAAGAAAAGAGAACCGAACGAGGAGTAGGGTATAATGGGCGTGATGATTCGGAGACGAAGGACTGTTTCCGAACCTGGATTCGTCGCAGACGGTGTAGACGCGGACGGCCGGGGGTTCGTCCCTGTCGCGCACCATCGCTTTGCTACTTTCTCCCTTCCCCTCTTCGAGACTCGGCCTTCCGACTCTCGTTGTAATTATAATTGCAAAAGAAAGGAGATCTGATGGAGAACAATTAGATCCCCAAGTCCGCACGGGCAGGGGGGCTCCGCGGCCACCGCAGGAACGAGCGACGGGAGAAGACCGGTGGATCGCGGGAGAGGGGGAGGAGAGATTTAGGGCTTGCGGTGGGAATTCTACAGATTCAAGCGTACAAAAGAAGTTAAGACTTCAAAATGAAGCGGTTCTTTTGGTTTATTGAGATGAGAGATGAAGGTTGGATGGAGTGGACCAGTCCGGTAACTCATCCCCATGCCCAGACATTTGCGAGTGCATTTTAGGGGATAAATCCCTTTATTATTAGACCTTCATAGCATCTCAAGTTTTAGATTTGGAAATTTTATATTTAATTTTTTATACTTATAAAAATAAAATACCTAGTTTTATTTATTCTAACTTCGTCGATTTTTGTCAGATTTTATTGACCAAAGTACAATAAAATGTTCTAATTAATACTTATGGATAACATCGGTGGTGACAGACGATAATACCGTCGAGGGCTATGGGTGGCTATTATAGATGAGGAGAGCGACAACAAGAGGTAAAGATCGCTTTGTATCTATGTCGACGTCGACGTAAATATAGAACGGCCCTCATCTTTCGTCGTTGCTTTCCTTATCCATAACAGTCGCTAGTAGCCTCTAGCGATGTCATCGTCCGTCACAACCGACGTCGTCTACCATCACCAACTGAAACATTGAAATCACCTATTTGCCTATTATTTGCGTGCTTCCATCAGTAAAACCAATGATATTAGGGTCAATGGAGTTAGATATTTTACTTTCATAACTATAGGGATTTTAATGTAAATTTTTGAAATATAGAGATCATGATGCTAAGGAGGTTTAATTATAGAGGTTAATATATAATTAGCCCACATTTTAGTTATGATCCTTTTCTTTTTAATTTAGAAATATAATTCGGTGAATTTTCGAAGAAAGCTCGTAACTTCAAAAAAAATTTACATAATGTTTTAACTTTGAAAAGTTTGTGACACTACTAACTACGTAAAAAGATTATTTTACCCCTGCCATCATTTGACCTATAGCCTTCGCATAAGGGCCTATATCGAATCCACTAGCCCCACCACTACATACCTCGCTCACGAACCTTACACGAGGTAAGAGGGGGCGTAAGAGCAACCATCGTCGTAAATAGCTCTCACGCGAGGGCCACGAGTGAGCACGGTGAGCACGGTGCAAGGTTGGCGAAGGCGACAATGGATCTCACGAGGTTAGGGGCAAAATGATCATTTTAAAAAAGTATTTTTGTATAATTTTTTTAAAGTTGTGGTGCCATGTGAAAAATTTTTAAAGTTGGGGGCTTTATCCTGAAATTCACTCTTCTAACTATATAAATAAATTTGAGTAAATTTCCTAAAAAATAATAAAAAATTTCTTATAATAATCTCTTTTTAGTTTGTTTCGACATAACATCCCTTATTTTTAAAAAATTGAGATCACCCTTAGTCTCCACCCCATCGGTTATCGTCTTTGCTCCATTGCGAGGTCCCCTTGCCCTTGATCTTATCGTCACCTTTGTCCCGTCGCGAGACCCCTTGTCCACTTTAGTCATTGTCGAGCCATTACTAAGGCTGTATCATCCCTATCATCAAACTCAACATAGAGGAAGAAGGCTGAGGCAAAGGAGACAGTCATGGTGGATCTTTCTCACCCTCCTCCTTATGGCCCTTCGTACTAAAGGAGCATGCCCCTGGCCACTTTCGCCCCTCATCTAATCAGGGACGATCTCAACATCTCTCAATTAGTTTGGCCAACCCTTTTCTTAAAAACTCAACCTTATTTGTTTAAGCAAAGCCCAACTTCCGACAACCTACTTACCTCAATCCAAGTCCTAATCGAACTCGAATTAGGGCAAATCTCACTGAAATAGGGATAGCTACTAGGCAAGGGGGTACAATAGCCCTACAAGGAAAGTCCTAGCTATGTGCACCCTATAAGAAATGTCTGTAAAACCTAAGGACTTGGGGTGCTCCTCACCTTAAAACAAGAGGTTCTTCTCTATCTACAGGCAATCGAAGAAGTTTACGAGAGGAGAAGAGGAAAAGGAAAGACTTTATGAGGTACAATTAGTTCTTCTAGCAGCCTTTTCCTCGTTTTCCGACAGCCAAAAATCTACATCAAGCTCTGCCGAGTAGGTTTTTAAATGATAAGCCTCTGAAGCCTATTGCTTATTATTCAAACCTCAAGAGAAGATTTCAACGATGAGAGAAAAGGAGATCAAAACCAAACTAGTTAGAACACCAAGATGCTATCCAAAGACAAACTTGCACTCTACACATCTATTAGTCTCTTTATGTGTTTTTAATTATGTTATTTTAAGTTTTATAATAAGCACTTTAGGTTTAGAGCTTGTTCTTTTTTTTTTATTTTATGTTTGATTATAGTTATTTCCACCACTAAAACTTTCATTCGAAAAATGACATGAAGCCGATGAATCTTTGAACCCAAATCTCGCACTCCTTCAATATAGCGGGTCATGCGAGGAACGAGGGAGGGGAGGCCCTATCATGGTCATCGACCATAAGCATCAAATGTCACAGATCCTTCAAGCTTATGAAGGACATATTAAAGGTGTCCCACATTCCATAATAACTTGCCTTTATTCATGATATATTAGGCAAATAATTTTAGCATCTCAATGCTCCAAGGTCACAGATCCTTCAAGCTGGGAAAAACAAACCAGGATATATAGATACATGAAGGAATCACCTTATTACTCCCAAACCTAGCAAATCATAAAAAAGCTACCATGGATCTAACAAAATGTTATATACACAAACAACACTCTATCCCGGCAAATCGGATTATTAATAACTGGCCAAGATCGGTTGAAGCATTAAAAAAAAATCTGACTACCCCTCATTCTTATGATATCAAGGCTACTGTATCAGCAAAAGCTAATACCAGTAGTGGTACAATCGCTTCACTTGATATAATCATCGGTTTAACCTTCACAGCCTTGGAAAAATGATTGATGTACAATCCATAGCTTTCGAGACTGCATAATTACCATTCATTCACCTTTCACCCTGAAATTTCAAGTGTGAAGTTGGTTGATTATAGTGAAATTCAATATGATTTATGGCTAAAAGTTTTAAAGACATGAACTTACATAATGGAGCAACAGTTTCACAAGTGAGGTTGTTAGCAATACCAGAATCCAAGTCCTCTGTGCCACCACTGAATGATGCAAGTAATTTTCTCTGCATGAAGGTAAACACATTCAAGTTAACCAACTATTTCTGGTAACAAGAGAATAAAAATTAAGCATGTTTCCATTGATCATCGTGGCTAGTGTATAAAATCCAGACCCCGTAAAAAAAATTTAAATTAAAGTTCATCAGTAGTATCTAGACAATGAATGTGGTCATTGCTACATGAAGTTCTAAACTTATAAATAGAGCATTTGCAGAACTATGATATCGATGAAGGATATTCAATCGATGGTCAGAATGTCAAATAAAACAGACCAGATAAGTGAATCAAGGGGCCAAAACCAACTTGTCAGCAAATTCTGAGAAACTCCCAAAGTTAATGGTTAGATGACAGTGACACTCACATGCGCTTCAAAGTCAGGGCTGGTCAGATTGATAGATAAATTCCCCATCAACAACAATACCTGCATATTGATGGTACAAAAGATTACTTCTTTGAAGGTAAATTCAGAAGCACATGTATAGACCAGACACTAGTTACCTGTAACAGATAAAAAGAAAATGACAAAGTATTCTACATGAGCATGCTCTGATAAATTTTTCATACATATAACAACTTGAATAATGAATTCAGAGCAACAGAAAGGGTACGCTTCTCCAGTATCAGAATTAAGAGTTTTGAAAGAGAGCAAATAACATAATCCTGTCTAGTACCGTGAGTACTATCCCTGTCTCTAATCCCTATCACAAGAAAAGCTCCAATCCATACGTACAAAATTTTAAGTACAGATATGTAGTTTGAATCCTATGGAATTCTCTTTTTTCTGATCTAGAAGCTCAAAACATCAGGACAATGGCGGTGTGATTTTCAAAATTTGCCATATAATTTTAACAGCTACCAACACAAAGGGTAAATAGTGCCAGATACATAATAACAAAGATGAAACTCTGCCATGACAACGTAGAAAAGAACTGACATGTGATAAGACAAGAAATTACTTATAAGCATCACTGGTAAAGATATATAAAGAGCAAGAAAATAGATCCTTATCAGTACCTACATCAGACTCCGATCCAAACGGATGTCATTCCAAATTGTTAGATCCTATGAACAATAACATTAAAGCATTCTGACGGATGTCATTCCAACTCGAGGGTAATCATGGTCCAAATGGAAATTGGAAGTTTTCTTTCAAGCGTATAACAAATGTAAACAGAAGTCTGATGCTGTATCCAGCATACATAAACCTCCAAGTATTTTTAAATGCTTTAAATATGTGGTTTTCTTTCTTACGTCAATTTGGATGCTAATGCCCTTTAATTCAAATGCTGAAGTAGATGCATCCCAGTTAAACTCCATTGTCCTTGCAGAAAAGCTTTCCCAAAGTAGATCTTTATCAATGATCATCTATAGTCCCATTTTGGCATATTTACAAAGAACAATTCCTTGGTTATCTTAAGTTATTAAAATCCAAGTATAAGGTGCCATTTGGCTTCTATTCATTAAATGGTACAATTCATGCTCGATGCATTCCAAGGCACATACCAAAAGCTCATTCTGTACCATTGACACCATTATTGAAACGGCACATCCTGGCATTGACCTGGATTGTGCAAATGCAGCATGAATGGTTTACAGGCCTGCACCGCTGACCCATAATTGTACTTCACATGCTAAGCACACATATGCTGCATGAACAATGACACCAACACATGCTGTAAAAAAAACAAACCTGTGCTACTCTTCATCAGTAGCACAAAATGAAGGACGTCTTTCTTTGATCACAAGTTCATAATATAGTTACTGGTTTAGAAACACAAACAAAGTTATCATACAAAGAAAGAAAAGTATGTTGCAGTTCTTCTTACAGCCAAGTGAATCATAAACAAGCTGAAACAACTAAAAATTATACACAAGCACACAATTACATGATCTACACTTTCCAAGAAGAGATAACCAAACATTAAACCCACTTACAGTTCAGCAATAGCAAATGTTTTTCATCAGAACACAATTACGGTTGTGTAATTCATAAGACAATAATATAGAAGAAAATTCATTGCCAGCTAAAGAAAGAATAACAACCATTTCATTTGGATAAAATAGTTTCCTACATCAAACAACGAAGCATTAAATCTTCTTCAATATATGAAAAAATTGTAATAAGTACTAGTTTGAATATAGCATACTGTTTCAACATCAATTGGATCCATCTCTTTCAGTTTTTGCAGATGACCAGTAGTGCTGGGGTCAAAGACACTTCCGAGAAAGCTGTACACCTGAGCAAAGTCCGGCATAACTGCAGAAACCACCAAACAGAAGGTCAGTAATCAAAAGACTGAGCAAGGTTCACACAAATATAAAAACACAACAAGTGACAATTTTCAAAAATTTGCTGCAGCATTTTGTTCTTGAACAAAGATTTGAAATAAGAAAAGGGCAGATCCCTCACATTTGGTACAAATAACTAAATAGTTTATTAATATAACTGTATTTTCTGAGCAGTAGTTTCCTGCCATGATCTCTAGGATGATATGGCATTCTTTTACAAGCTTCATCAAACATCATTGTGTTCTTTTTTATTTTATAGCACCAACTTTTTCTTGCAATCTAAGTGCTCTGATGAGACAGAACACATATAATCTCTTTCTGATCAATTTGAAAAGGCAATTGTTCTAGCTATTATTTATGTGCAATGAGAACTCACCACGAAGAGCTGTGACATGATTTTCATGGTCAGCCATTTCACAAGTTGGCCAGGTTACAGGACTTATTGTGCTGCTAGAACAGCAATTTTTCACCACCAAGTTTCCAGCATGCCCCATATCATCTGGACATCTAAGAACTTAGGAGGCACTTCTGGAAAAAGAAAAGATCGAACTACTCAAGAGAAAGTACCAAACCTGATGTCAGATGAGATGCACTAACAGGATGGAGAGAACTGTTAAGCCCAGAAGGAACTGCTTCATTTGTGTTAGAGTTTCTAGACATGGAAGATGTATCTATTCCAAAAGCAGAATGTGGTTCAAGCAAACAGGAAGCCTGGTGTGGAGTGGTGCCTTGAGATATCTGTAGAGCTGCAGTTCCCAGAAAACCTATCAGTTCGATTACAACATGAAAGCAGATGATAATCATTGAACGAGACTAACCATATTTAGGGGCTTTCTGTGGATATGGATGTGCTGCTTTCCTCTTGGGTCGAGGTGGAGGCACATGTTCACTTGCACCGTTCTTCTGAATCTTCAGAAAGTACTTCTGTGCATGACTCCTAATCTGCAAGGTCGTTTTTTAGAATCTGCTTCTGTGCATGACTTGCGACAAACAATTGTCAGATTATCATAATTTGACAGGCCCTCAATGTTAAAACAGGGGGCTTCTTAGCGGTGCCTTGAAATGTGGAAATCTAAGAACAATTTCAAAAATGAGATTAAAATCACATCTTATTTTACAGTTATATCTGGACTCTGAGGCAATTCAAATACCTGCTAATGTGATGTGTATTTGCTGATTTGACCAATGACTGGTCTTGAACCATATGATCTGGCACCAATCAATATGGTTTTTATTTTTATTTTCCGGGAGATACCAGGCAATATGGATTGTTATACCAATACTATACTGGTCGGATAGACCAATATCGAATCCAGGATTTGAGTCCTGGCTATGTGCAATTTCCAGATGCTTCTTATTGATAGAGGAAAATGTTACTCCAGAACATCAACTTCATACAAACCTAAAGTTTACACTCATGTTTGTAAAGCTAACCCAGAGTCAAAAGGAAAGGTTGAAGCATCTAGATGACCATACAAGTCATGTTTTTATTATTCTAGAATCTAGATCCTCGTCAAACAATTGATTCCAGAGTTTCCAAGTCAAGAGAAGATGATATGAGAAAACCCAAAGACAAGCATGGACAAACAGGCCAAATCAAAAACATTATTCAATGAGCCAATACTTCCAAAGTCTAGCATATTTTCCTATCTATTAAGTATTAAAGATACACCCCTTGATGATATAGAATCCATAGAAAGAAAATAAATGAATAGATAGGCAGAAGTTCGCATACAAGAGTTGGTTGAAATTTCGTGTGTGTTCTCTCCCTATTCTTAGTTCTTTCATATATTTCTTAATAGAACTACAACCTATCTGCAAATTACCTGAATAACTGTCTTTGAACCAACAAATGCTTCTATCTTTTTCCAATCACGATCAAATCTGCAAAAAGCCAGAAAATAAATATTATTATGGCTCTAGAGCTTATAGTTCATTGTTGTACATATAAATCATCATAAACTAAAGATCATGTGCCACTTTTGCACATCAAAGATGCTACGATACATAATGCCCAAACAACGTACACCATTGTACTACTAACAACATTTGCATATGCACTGCAATTAGACATGACCAAAAGCTGCAATATATAATACATAATAACAAATGGACTGTCTCAAACTGTCTGGAGCAGATAGTTTTGTTAGTAGCAGTTAGCTTGTCATTTACACAAAGCTATTGAATCTCTAGTGTACATCTTTTAAGGCATGTTGGATTATCAATCTCAAATTTAAGAAATTTGTCTATCGGTCAGAGCATCATAATTTAAAACCTATAAACAGAATGTGGCTATTAAGTACTATGACATGTATTTAGGTAATTTATATTATACCAAAGTAAGTAGGCCTCCGAATATGATGAATGCCTTTTTGTGAACCGTAGCACTAAATATCATCGCAAGAGATTTTCAAAAAAGAAATTGTGAGGCTGGTGGTTCATGTCTGGCTTCATCATTGAATGACTCAGTATATCATGTTCCCGCCAATGCAGGGTTGGGGAAGTCATTATATGCATCATTATGCCTGTAAATAGAGGGGCTGTTTCATGTCCGAAATCCTGGTCATCCAAATTGTAAAGGAGCAAGCTTATCATGATGCCAAGGCTTGCCCTTGCTTTCGTCACTGAATGACAAATAGATTTAACTGTAGACAAGACAACCATTTGGTGCAGTTGATAGACAATTACTGAGAAAATCAAAATCTTATTACAGCATAATTAAACACCATGGAGGAAGACCAACAAATTTTGTCTATATCATGATGTTACGATCTATTGGGATCAATGGGAGAGCATGAGGTGCTCAGTAAAATCTTCTATATTGGTATAGCCTTACGTGCAGATATCCTTCATAGAATCAATGCAACGAGATGTGTGATTGTTGCTCAGTAAAATGATATTTGAAAGGTCAAAAGAGTTAATAACTAATGATCCACTAAAACATAAAATCTTCTATATTGGTATAGCCTTACGTGCAGATATCCTTCGTAGAATCAATGCAATGAGATGTGTGATTGTTGCTCAGTAAAGAGTTAATAACTAATGATCCACTAAAACATAAAATCTTCTATATTGGTATAGCCTTACTTGCAGATATCCTTCGTAGAATCAATGCAACGAGATGTGTGATTGTTGCTCAGTAAAATGATATTTGAAAGGTCAAAAGAGTTAATAACTAATGATCCACTAAAACATAAAATCTTCTATATTGGTATAGCCTTACGTGCAGATATCCTTCGTAGAATCAATGCAATGAGATGTGTGATTGTTGCTCAGTAAAGAGTTAATAACTAATGATCCACTAAAATATAAAATCTTCTATATTGGTATAGCCTTACTTGCAGATATCCTTCGTAGAATCAATGCAACGAGATGTGTGATTGTTGCTCAGTAAAATGATATTTGAAAGGTCAAAAGAGTTAATAACTAATGATCCACTAAAACTCTCTTCTACACCCAAATTGCTCTGATTCTACCCAACCTCTTACAAAGGCTGATATACTCAAGGTCAATGAATTTTGGTCATAAATTATTCCTTTACTTTACTTTGGGCAAATTATTCCTTTACTTTGGGCACTATTTCAAAATAAGCACAGAGATTTTTTTTCCAACATCAAGAAACCAAAGCTCAAAGATGAATAGGGAGTAGAGGTTCTAATGACAGAAGCAGAACTTTGTAATCGTTCCAAGATTATGCCACAACTAATAGCTCCAAGACTCGTCTTCCGTGTCCAGACACATTTAACTGTGTCAAGAAACAATGGACAGAAAACAACATACCAAACAAGAGACAATTCCAAGGCTCACAATCCAATTTAGAGATACCCACAAAGGAAAGCAAAGGCCTCTACCAGACTGCTCAGTTAAAGCATAAAAGACTTGTAAAATTAGAAAATTCTCCTCTACTAGATTCTACAGTTAAAGCATGAAAGACTTTTAAACTGCACTAAGAATTGGAAATTTCTTATTCAAACACTTAAAGGTAAAAACGAAGATAAAAACTTAAACAAGATCACTGAAGCATCCACAACAACTAAACCCCCAATCATATATCCAGTTGCGTGACCAGACAGTAGTCGAAGAGAGATCACCGACAAAACCCAAAATCCCATCCTTATGGACAAACTCTTGCAACTCAATCTTCTCCTAGAACAATGGTCATCATAAGCAGAAGGGGATTCGCGATCCAAAGACACCAATTTTCGAGAGGGAAAAAGCGACAGGTATACCGCCAGTGACGCAGGAACTTTACGGGTGAGAAACCCGGACATATAGAATTGCAAGAAACCAAGTTTAGCCCTAAGTAACCCACGACAACCCGATCGCCCGCTCGAACTAGAGAAGCGCCACAAGTTCAAGATCAAAGGGGTGGTGGGGCTATTCTTACAGGTGGAGGGCTTCGAGGAACTTGTCGTGCTCCTGCTCGGTCCAGCTCTCGCGCGACTTGGTGATGGTGTAGGGCTTGCGGATCTTCTTGCTGGGGTCCTCGGCAGCAGCGGCAGCGGGGGCGGAGGAGGCGGCGAGGGGGCCGGCGGCGCCCGGGAGGGCCATGGAGGGGGAGGGGAGGTCGGGGGGCAAGAAGGCGGCGGATTTCGGTGATGCTTCTCTGCTGCCTCGGATTGCCTTGGCGTGAACAAACACCATAAAAAGAAATAGGGATCGAGGGAGGCGTCGCGAGAGAAGGTAAGGAGGGCGTCGGCTTCTACTGTGTCGATGGCTGCTAATGGGAGAGGTGCAAGGAGAAGGGCGGTGGCGGTGGACTGGTTGGCGGTGGGGGTGGACAAGTGGCAGTGCGATCCGAATAGAGTCGCTGGTTTGTTGGCAGTGAAGAGGGGCCGCAATCATTTGCTGCGGACCTCCGCACGGAATACTTCTCTGCGGATGAGAGTTCTTCGCATATTGCTCCCCAATATATCTCTGTTCTCCATCTCTTTGAAGTGCATTTTATAGACTCTCAACACCTGGTTGAACGATCTCAATTGTCTCCGAATAAATATTCTAATCGTACTATGGGAATCTACTTAATACTACTCGATAGTTGTTCGAACATATCTCTACATATTTTTGGAAAAAAAAATATTTTTAAGTTGCAAAAACTTAAAGAGGGAAATATAAGAATTTCACTAAGTTGCAAGGTATATTTATGTGCCACCAATAAACTAAGGTTGGCGTTACATCTGATAGCGATAAGAACAGAAGATTCATTAAAAAGACAAGGTTGATAGCTACTAACCGTGGAATAACATGTAGGATGAGAGAACACACCTACCAACCAAAGAATTGCTGAATGACATCATACAATAAAGGATATGAGGAAGAACTGCACCATTCTATATAGTTCTACTTAAGACATAATTTTATCATCTAGTATATATAATAATTATAGTCAAAGATTCCACAAAAGAGGAGGAAAGAATTGCAGACACAGGCACCCCCATCTCATGGAAGAAGGAAACTGGAGACCATACCTTTGTTTCCACAGCATGAAGGGAAGTAACCCAGGTGAAAATGACAGGTACTATCAGCTTAAACATATTACCCATCAAACTGTTGGGAATTACTATCAGCATTCCAAGCCAGACACCAGGATGTAGAGAGAAGGCGTCCAAGCATGATACAGACAACAAAATATAGTAAGATAAAACAGGTACGCGTAGAATACATAGAGATCAGCAAGTAATATCTCCAGAAGAGGTTTAGGACAGCAGCATCATATCATGCAAACCCTACCATGTTCTTGTACTGAGGTGTTTCCATAACTTTCTCCAAATGACATAATTAGACAAGTGCTAAGAGAAGAAGCTTAATGTTTGTTCCATTTGGATGGAATATTGACAACAGAAAAGAACTCAGGCTTGTCTATATACGTGCGAGTCCCTCTCATTTGGATCACCATCAATCTTCTATCATTCCCTTGGGACTGTTTCCGTCTTCTTTTTCTTTTTCTTTTTCTTCCATCTCCTGTGAGGGTAGATATTTGAAATGATACCCTACAAGTTGCCAAACACGATCAGCACAAAAAAGAAAATTAAATTCACCTACCAAACTATAAAAGGGCAGGTATTCCACAACCTTCTGAACAGATGAAATCAGAGGTCTTTTAGAGTCATCTGTACCGGAAGCTCCTGTCGAATTCTGGACCATATATACCAGGAATGTGACCAGCTGATGCAGGGTGCACCTGCTTTGCATTAGCTCTCAGCTCCATATCAATCAGCCTTTGTAATGCTTCCGGATGATTGCCTCCACCACCTCCAATGAGAGATCCTGCATATTGTAAAAAATATTTTAAAAATGGAAAGAAAAAAATTGAATGGTAATTTCTTAAAGAAAAAAAGCAACAGAGGCCAACTATAAAAGCTAAACCAAATTTTGGGACAACCACAAAGACAAGATGGCCAACTAAATACTAGGATTTCTACCATTTAGGCCAAGCAGAAACTAATTGCAGCCTAGCAATGTCTATAATTCTACAACGAGTGAATTTGCCTACACTTATGCTCAGCGGCAAGTAAATTATCTGCCACAAAATGTGGTATTGCCAAACTCTTTAGTGTCCCAACAGTTCTAAAGTCGGATATAAGCAACAAGTAGACAGTTCTGTTACAGCCTCGTGACCATTCAAGGTTCCAAACAAGAGTGAACCTAAAGCACCAATCAAGCAAACCACATGAAGCACAAGGGAAATAGTAGGAATTTACCTGGCATTCCCATTCCAAGGCTGCCATAAGTTGGGTGCTGCTGATGTAACGAAATATTGTGTACATTGTTCATCTCAGGTATGTACCCTTGCATGTGATTTAGGTGATGAGGTAATGGTACACCTCTTGGAAAACCTGGAAGAGGTAACTGTTGTGGGTAGCTTCCTGGAATTGGCATTTGCTGTAACATCAAATGATAGTCAGGAGGTTCAACGTGTGGGCCACTAGCATAATTGGGAGTATTAAGTGGAACAACGTTTTCAAGTAAATTTCGACGAGGATCATGATGGATGCCTTCAGGACCAATAAACTTCATCTGCTGATTCCTATTTGTGAGATGATCCAGCCCCGGGTGCAGAGGCCTAGCATGATTGATGATATGAGGTAACTGAGGAGATGTTCTTCCCTGTAAATGATGATAAAAACTATCAGAACCAACCAGGTCATGTGGGGTGCGAAAAGGAGGTAAGCCATCCAGACTAGACGATGGAATTCGTTCTGCATCTCTTGTAATAGCATTAAGCAATTTGTAATTGAGATGTTCCACACTGTTTTCAGATAATAGCTCCTCACTTCTAGTAGCATTTGGAAAGGGTGAAGGGCCAGAAGCTACAGAGTCCAAAGAATCACTAGTAGTAATCAGATTATCCTCATCAGGCAAGTGAATTTGCAAAGCCCTTTCTTCAAAACCAGAAGCAACATGTTTTGAGTCCTCAATAAGAGAGTTTTCATGCTCTTTGGAAGGACCCATAGTGTGATGAACATTTGCATCTTGAATTTGGTTTGTAGATACCATGTCCATCTCATGAGCAGGTTTGTTCTGTTTATAGTCACCAGAACTAGAAGGAAAGAAACCAGCATCAGAATTTTGAAATGGCAATCTAAGTGATGTTGGAACTTCTGTAGTGTTAATCCCACCATCTGTAACTCTCTGCACGGAGACAGGAGCTTGAGCCGATTGGAGCTCATTCATAAATGCTGCCCCAAATAATGCTTCGAGTGTCAGGGTCTTCTCTGAGCTGGGTGCTGGTTCAGAGTTGCAAGAAGTAGCCTTCTCAGCAATCCGAAGTTTGAAACCAGAATTAGCATCAGTTATGGAAAATTTGTCAAAGAATTCAGCATCTAGACCATCAGGTGTTACTGATGCTGCCTTCTCTTTCTTTGTCCCCTTCTGTAATAGAGAAAGAAGATGTTGTGATGCATGATCATCAATATCCAGTTTCTGTTCCATTTTTCCATCTGTAGTCTTCCGAGGTCCTTGAACAGCATGCTGTGGACTTGAACGACCTGTAATGTTGGCCATGAAGGACTGCTCAAGGTCCTCACATGTCAGCACAGCAGGACTTAAATCTGGCTTAACACCTTGATGATACTGCTCAGGGATCCCAACCATCAAAGAAGTTGCGGAGGATGCATCAAGTTTCTCTGTGGTATCACTAATTTTTATAGGTAAGCTTGGTGCCATATGCTCAATTGCCTTGTCACAAGAAATTATGGAAGATGATGAGTTAACTTTCTCGTTGTTCACAATTAAAGAGAGCAAGTCCTTTGATGAAAAGTCTTCTACATGCTTGTTTTCTGTGAGCATATCAGAAAATATTAAATTGCCTTTCAAGTGGTAAAAAAGTTCTCCTACAAGGCACAAACACAAAAAGTTCTCCTACCTTCTTCAAGAAACCAACTAGCAAATTTGGAAGATTCGGAAATTGCAGGAACCCATGGTTCTTCATCCGTTTTAAAACCCTGATTCTGGAAAAATATCACAACAAGTTGGTTATCGAAGCTTTTTATCAGGCATATATAAGTAATAATTTGTCAAGATTCTCATTTTCATATACATACACACATGCAGACAAACATACATATTGTCGTGAAAAAAACACATAAGCATATATGAATGCAGAAACACTGGAACTCTGACAATTCAAAAGACTAGAAGGGGTAACTGAAACATGCAGATTTATGTATTAGCTATCCACAAGAAGCCAAATAGAGCTCACAAATCGAGACAAGAAGCTACCATTTTTTTTCTTTTGATTTTAACTTGTATCGATCTTTTGCCGGAACACACATGAAACCGATAGTTAATTCCTTCGTTTCAATGAGATGCAACGATTAAATTCAGGGAAATTTTGATTTTGCCTCCATTTTTGGAATTTAAATATGAGAAGTAATATTTGATTTAGTTAGTTCTTGGTTAAAACAAGTTTAGTGGTCACAATTTTAACTACTCAGAATTTGAGAGGAAAGAGGACAATAAGTTATGTGGGACCATCAAAAGGTCTTAGAGTTGACTTGAGTAGAAAATTGCTCCCAAGAACATGGAAGTCTACTATTGAAAATGACAGAAACTATGCAAAACATTTACAAATGAAAAGTAGAAACATATTTTCCAAGAATGTGTTATCTGATCTCCAAGCTTTTACTTTATTTATGAATAGAAAGAAACCCAAGTATTCCACACAGGCCTTGTTGTTCTTCAATATTACTAAGAAAATTTTTGCTCAAAGCATTTTCAAACAGAAGTTTCGTAGATCCCTTCCAATGAACCTAGTTATATTAGCTCTCAAGATGATCAGGCCTTGCCACCAGACCACCTCTGCCAACAGTATCATAAGCCAGGTCATGGTCACATCTGGATATAAAAATTTAAGCTGCAGCATCATGCTTTAAAATCTTGATCAAGGGAATGCATCTAAAGCACAAGAGTTATATTATCGGACTAACCTTTAAGTCTAAATACATAAAATTGTGCATGCCTATAGTTCTCCCATAAACCAGTTTCTACAAACATGTTGCTGCACAGTCCTCGCCCCTAATGCATTAATGTCATTACTCTATAGTTCATCTGGCTGTCATACAAAAAGCAGGCATGTGTCCTTTTTTTTTTAATCCTTGATAAGACGTTATCAAGAAAATTAACTAATTTAAATTTTTTTCTCACTCGAATAAATTTTAGATACTGGAATTATGACATAGAAAGAAAGTATCAACTTCATGAGCATAAGCTCTACTAAAAATCTACTGCATATATAAAGATATGCCAAAGCAAGAGATAAACACAAAATTAACCTTGAAAAAATATCAACATTATTGAATGATTTCATACAAGCATGACAAATGACAAAAACTGAGAGTGGGCATCAAACTAGATGTTCTTAAAGATGATTACATACCGCAGAGGAAGTTGGTGAACTACCAGAAGTTTTTACCACAGAACCACCAAGCAACTTTTCCAGAATTGACACTGAACTATCCTGCATAAGTGGGCTTGTAACCTCAAACTTCTCTTCTTTAGTGTTGGAAACATCATTCTCTATTACTTCTTCCCAAATCTTATTCACTTTTGGAGAACCGGAGGTTGAACAGGATATGTTTTCAGCATCCATTGGGAGCTTAACTTTGAGAGCCGATGATGGAATTGCAAGCTTTTCATCGACATTCACAACAAGATCAGACATGGAGCCAGTTTTTAGCATGCTGTTGTCCAGGCATACAGCTGATTGGTGCCTTTTCTCGGGATCATTATCGGTGCCATCTGGAGGAAGGTCATCCAGACTACCAGAAAAGCTACCCTGAGATTCCAAAGAATGCATTGGCTGTAAGGCCATACATAGTGATAACTGATAGCATAACACAATCAAGCACTGAGTTAACTTTTACATCATTACATGAATATTAAATTTAGTTATTATGTTGCATATTATTAAGCCCAAAAGCATGACTTGTTGCGGAAACATCTTATACAGATTACTCACTCATTTCTTGATGATAAACTAACATGACAGAGTGCCAATGAAGCAAAAAAAATTTAATATGTTCCTCATTTCAAACCACTTATTACCATCACTCAGCCACACCCCCCCCCCCCCCCCCCTGCCTACCCCACTATCGTGGTCTGAGACAACCATCATGTGTGACTAAACCCTGGCAGTGGCACTCTATTTTCTTTGCTGACAGCCATGAACCAACCTCCCTTTATCTGCTTATCTATGTCTTCTCCAGCAGCCATGAACCAACCACACCCCTGATAACTGTGAATAAAACTTAGCTCTCTCTCTGCTTCTCTGACATTTTTATACCACACCTCTCCTCTCCTCCACCAGCTCCCTATGTCTTCTTCGATGCCCAAAACACAACCACACCCAACCAAGTGCCCTTTGCTCTACTCTGTATGCTGCAGATACAGACTCCACCACACCTCTGCTTTCCTCTGCCTCTGCACTTGTTCTGTTGGTATAGGCTCACTCTACACTGTTAATCTCACTCTTACAGCTAGTTTTCCCTTATCTTGATCTCATTATTAGTATTCTGGATTGCCATTATTTGACAATGATGTTAATTCTTGTTAATAAGAGTTTATGGATTATCACTGTTCAACCATAATGTTAATTACTAGATCGTCACTGCTAGTTTTTAAATTGAGGTTTTAAACAGTGATGTTAACTCTTGTGACTATGATGAAAGTTTCCTCTTTAGGTCCTTTTTATTTTTCAGAAATAATGGCAACCATAAATAATAATTCAGAAGAATCATCAGCAAGAAACAAAAAAAACCTGCATGGAAATACAGCTATTTAGAAGATCCGAAAAACCCTAATATTGTTAGCTGCGACAAAACTACTAGTTATGATATTTTTCAAGCAACTACATAAAAATAATTACTAGTTCTGAACTTTTGATAATATGATGAACAAGAATACCAAAGAACCATCTAATAGTTGAGAGGAACATATTCCAAAAATACAGTTTCTAAGTCAATCTGATAGCTAGATAGATCTAAACCATCTACTTGTCAGTATTATCTGTTCCTACAAAAAAAATACAACATTTTCTGATTAGCAAATAGCAATTACTCAATATAGAGTTATATATTGGTACCTCTGACGCAAACTGAGTGCTTGAAGACTGAACAGGAAGGTTTTTGTCTAATGCTGTGCTGGAAAAACCAGGTGGTACAAGTGGCCGAGATAGGGGAGCATTCATAGTAGAAGAAACCCTAGAAGAATCGTTTTGTGGCAGTGAAGAATCATCCGGCATGTCAGTTTTACTCATTTTACTGTTCCTATCAACCGAGTTCTGAAGTAATGCAATAATATCAGCATCAAGATTTTCTTTGTGATTATCAGGAATCTGTTTTGGCTTCTCTTGCAGTGCTTTCTGTTGTTCCTTTCTCATCAACTCGAAGGATGCTGCATTGGCAATATAATGAAGAAAAGTAAACCAGAAAAGAAAAGAAAATAATATTGGAGCTGTAATGAGTCACAATAGACCAATGTTCCATCATTATAACAAAATACCTCTTCTTCTCCGTTCTTCTTCCGCTCTGTCCTCGCTTGAATAATTAGTCGAACCAAATGTTTCATCATTACATGAATCTTTATCATCCTTCCGTTGAAAGGATAAAGCCTGAAGTTAAAGATGGCATTTTCATTAAAAAAATTTCTCTATAGATATTTATAAGATCTGACCTCTATCAAAACAAGATCTCTGTGGATGTTTAAATAGAGGATCAGAACTCAACAGGATGAGGTCAAAGATACTAAAGTTGAAATCAAAGTAAAAAAATATGAAAAATAATTTTTTTGATGGAATCTAGTTTGTATTTATAGTCTCAAAAGCCAAACCTTATAAGGTCGTGGGGGCTGATAAGGTTCAGAAGTCCTATTGAGCTGAAACTGGCTGGTTGCTCTAGCTTTTTGTCCCGAGGATCCAGCATAACCTGAAGGTCTTGGAAATGCACCACTTCCCAGAAGTCCATCATGCTCAAGATTTTGAGATAAATGTCGAGATTGCTGTTGCTGTCCGTAACGCCTACCAGAATCTGTAATTTAAAGATACATCATTTAAGTAACAGAACTACCTCAGTTCTAAACACCTATATGGTAAAGATGTCAATTACAGAAACAGACCATGATTCATTAGAACACAAAACATGTTTGCCAGTCAACACAAGCATCACGACACACGAATGGGCAGTGAAATTCTGCCATTAAAGCTCCACCGACATCATGAGATTGCTCCAGGATCGCACGACTTCAAAAGCAAGAAATTTTGCATCTTGGCATTTGTTTACCCAAAGCAAATGGTAAAACTGAATTTTTTAAATGATTCTGAGGAATCATTTCTATTTATTTCTCATTTGAAAAAAAAATTAATTAGAAGGTTTTTTTTAAATATTATAAGTTGACAAATGCCAACATCATCCATAATCATATGTTAGTTTAGAAGATTGTCCAAGAAAAATAAAAAAAATAATATCAAATGAAAAAAGGAAGGAGAAATTTTAGGTTTGCTTGAAGATTCTAAATAAAAATGAAATACATAAGTCTCCGATATGATTATATATTTCATCTTTTAAAAGTAGTTTCTTCTTGATTGAAGAATTACAAATAAGGAAACCTATCAATCAAATATTTTATCAACAAAAAAGATAGTTTGCCAAGACAAATATGTAAAGATATCTTCCCACAGAAATAAAGATGATATGACTGACATATTCTGATTCACAAAATGTAGTTTTTCTACCATATTATTCCTTATTTTTGTATTTTCCTTTTCATCATATACTTTGTGTATCTATAAAGGAGAAAGGAATTGTAACCGAAGGTCGCAAAATGATTAAATGAAATAAAATGCTTTTTCCCACATTATATGTCAGTGGCATGAGGCCACTTTTTTTTTTTTTCCAATGGCATCATTCAATCATCCTCATGTGAGAAGTCCAGAGGCACAATACTTTCATCCCTAGGAGTTAAAACTTAAGTCCAAGTGAGTCTAATAGCTATTTTTCAATTAAGATTTATGATTCTTCACTTCCTCTCTCTTTTATCCCACTTTACCAAAAAAATGTCTACTTTCTTTACTCATTACAAACTTATCCCATATCAAATTTGGTATCAAAACTCATACTGCAACATTAGAGTATTAGACGATCTATTTAATCCAAGATATTTTATAATTATTGTCAGTAAAATTTCAATTTTTTCACCTCAGGAAGAGTTCCTTTGCAGCAACAGTATATAATACTAGGCCATTGTGATTTAATTTTCCATTGAATAATTTTATTAGTTTAGGTCTTATACCTATGTCATAAGCTATATGATATGATAAAACCTACTACAATCTTACATTAGTTATAAGATTGCACAGGGAGAGAAAAAAGATGAAGCCAAAAGAAAAGAAGGAAAAAAAGACAAATATTAAACTCAGATTGAAGATTCTAAAGAAAAATGTAAGGCATAAGCCATGAATTTCATTAAGATATCTTCCTTGCAAAGAAATTTCTTCTTGAAGAATCCATAGAAAAGGAAAGTTTATCAACCAAATATGTTATCAAAAAGGAAGATTGTTTGAATATATATATATATATATATATATATATATATATATAATCTTTTTTATATTCCTTTTCTTTTTGTACTTGGGGGTCCACAAAAATGGGAAGGGATCGTAACTGAACATCACAGAATGATAGAGAATTGAATTTTTTTTTCCCACACTGTGTAAATGGTGTGAGGCACTTTTCCAATGATTCAATTTCATCATCCAGATTTGAGACATGGCAATCTATTAGTTATTCTCTTTTCCTATTATCTTTTATGATAATTATCTTTCTCTTCCTCCATTCTTAAATAAAAATATATTTCCCTTTCTCATCGTGTACTTATTCTAGGATAAATTTGGTAACAAACCTATTGTCCTACACAATATTGTAATTATCAGTTAAATGAATGAATAGCTTTATTTCTCACATTATATGCGAGTAATGTAAGGCCACAATCTTTTTTTTTTTGTAGTATGATTCCATCGTTACATGTCAAAGTGTGAAATCTTCATCTCTAAGAGTTACTCTTTAGAAAAGAGCCCAGTAGTTCTCTTATCTTTCCTCCCTCTCTCTTTTCCTTTGTGTATTTTCAGACAAAACATATACAATCTATGCTTGTCACGATCTTGTCCTACATCAGACTTGATATCAAACTCGTCCTAACCCAAAATGAACTCAAACTCACCACATTCCAAATTTTTATATTTGAAATATGCAATGCAAAAACAAACCCAAACTTGCACCACAATTACAAGGAATACCACATGATGCATGATTCCAATCTTAAGTCCAAGACATGTGCAACAATAAGTAGTCATAATTTCCCAACAATTTGGTGTCGGCGACATGGATCTTCTCCCATTATTAAACTCCAGGAAGTACAATATTGCTAGCTACAATAAGAGCAATAAAACTTTCTTTTAGGCAAGTTTTCATGGGTATCCGTCCAGTTCTCATAGCATCGCTAATCTTGATGGACTTACACTGTACAATTAGGATATTCTACAGGTTACATTTTAGAAGGCATGTATATTACCTTCTAAAATGGGAACCTCATTTTATCTTTTGCAAGAGCTACATTTAATGTTAGCTAATGAAAACATATCTTAAGTTTAGAACAAGCAATCTACCAGACAATGACAATGGATATTACCTTCTAATATGGGAACCTCATTTTATCTTTTGTAGGAGCTACATTTAATGTTGACGAATGAAAACATTTCTTAAGTTTAGAACAAGCAATCTATTAAAATAATGACAATGCGGAATAGTAAACCATTGCAACTGTCAAAACATAAATTTATTATCCTAAAACATAATAACACTAGAACATTTTGCAGAAAAAGCAAATACAAACCTTGCATGGATGATTCACGATTAGATGGGAGGTCTCCATCTCTAGTGTCCGATCCAGAAGACCGTGCATCCCACCTTCCAGAGCTTCCTCGAAAATAACTACTTGCACCTTCTAACCTATTCGGCGGTGATGATCCATAATCACTCCGCTTTGTGCTCTGGAAAGTTAAGCCTCCAAAACCTCTTTGCCTCTCAATGACCGATGCTTCATCCAATTCACTGCATTGAGAAATACCAGGGAGTGAAGCAAAAAAAAATCTACAAGACCGGTGAAATGACAGAGAGCTAAACAAAGACTTGATATAGGCTTTCACCAGGTAGTACCTCAAAATCGAAGCATCGATTCCTCTGGGCAATTTTTTGCAAATATCCAAGTTGCTAAAAGACAAAAGTTCGTCTCTTGTATATAATATCTTAGACTTCCTGTGACATCATACAAGAACGCAAATATATAAGGAGCCAGAGAACAATACCAACACATAACAACAGGAAAACAAAGATCTCAGATGAAGGCGCTCACTTTTGAGATCCAGTTTTTCTTTCAAGCAATAACCGGTCTTCATTCTCCAGACTCATTCCCAGAAATTGAACGTACAAGGAATCTTATCAACTAAAAATGTTGGGCTCCTTGAATCATATGTCACACCACCAACTACCTTATCCTCCTACAATACATCAACTAATCCAGATTCCATACATCTACTACAGGTCAGCTAAGTCCGTTACAGAAGAAGCCAGCAACGCCAACTCAAAGAATGAAAAAACAGATTGTCAGAGCGCTAAAATATCCTGGAAACGAGTATTAGGTTCTGTACAGCTCCCTGTCCAAAATTGACGAAAGGAAATCATCGTCAGCCAACAGAGAGGGAGGTTTAGCACCAAAACATCACCACAACTAACATCAAACAACAAGAGGCAACAACCAAAACACCGTAATCCAAAGATCTCGACGATCAGATCAGAAACAGGGAAGAATAATCCATCAGGAGAGAATCCGAGCTACCAAATACATAAATTCCAATGAGCGCGGATATCACAGCAAATGAGCTTAGGGTTACCACGAATCGTACGAGTACTTGAAATCGATGTCAAAACCCTAATCTAGGTGCCTAAAGAAAGGATCGGAGGCGGGGAGGGAGTTGCCTGGATCGATTCCGACGATCGCACGGGGATCGGTGCCGGCGTACGAGAAGGTATTGGGGAAAAAGTGATCGATTTCTTCTTCTTCTTCTCAGAGAGAGAGAGAGAGAGAGAGAGAGAGAGAGGGGGGGGGGGAGGAGAGAGAGAGTAGGTAGGGAA